TTGTATGGAATGCAGACGTATAATAATATGACGATGAATAATAGATCATACTTTTTAAGACATGGCAAAGAGACATTGTTATGACCGTGAAAATAGATTTTATTTCAGTGAAAAAAGAAGAAAATGTGGATTTTGTATTGAATACAATTGATAAAACTAATATACTAGAAAAGATTTCAAACATTTTCAACGTAGCATTTCGATTGATACTAAGAAACCTTATTCTTACAGTAACTGTCTTTTCTTGAACGAAGCGAATTTAGTAACGCTTTGAAAATGCAACTTTATTTGAATTTAGGATAAGAACATAGCGTTCGAGAATTAGTCTTCATGAGTAATACAAAACATGTTGGGCAAATACTTTTATTTTCTTTGCAAAAAGTGTTCAAATCAAACTTATCATGACTAGTCCAAAGTTAATTCGAACAAGAAATAATTCTCCACTATTCGCCTTAAAACGTTAGCTACTTAGTATCTAAGTAAAACTCTTCATCCAAATAAGCGGTTTAGTTTTAAACAACACTATAAGTGCAAAGCAAAAGGCAAAGTTTCGTAAAAAGTGCAAATATATAAAAACCCGGCTACATTATCTCAGTGCCGTCACTTAGCCGAGCGTCCGCGTCTGCATAATTTATTAAAATCTTATTAAAAACTGTCACCGAACAAAAAAGAAAGTTCGGTATTATAAAAGGTCTCTATTATGTCGTCCACTTCGGCTTTTGTAGCAGCAAGTTTTTTAATTACGTCCCGATTTACTTTGTCTTCTTTAGCTGCGTTTATTTTATGTTTAAAGGATATTGGATTATTGAACATCTTATTATCTTTGTTAGATTGTCCCTCGGTGTTATTAACGAAAATTTTATCTTTAAATTTGAGTGTCAATTAATAATTTGGACAAACTAAAATTACTTTTGACTTGTGCCGTCAATACAGTTGCCATAAGTAAAATAAGTTTTATTTAGATCATCAGTTTCACCATGGGTACACATTTTAAATAATTGTAATAGAAGAGTGGTTAGCATATTGATTATGGTTATTGTGTTTGTACCCAGAATGTTATAATGAAATCGATTATAACGCCAGATAGCTTCATCTAGTTTGAATGCGTTTGCTAAATCGTGGAGTTGTAATATTTCCTCAAAGTAAATTACCATGTCTACTATCCGGTTGTGGAATTCCCTCCCTCAACCTATCAAACATTTCCCTTCTATTGATTCCTTCATACGATGTGTCAAGAAATATGTCCTTAACTTTTAAGTTCCGTGTTTTCTCTCCAACCTCTTCATTTATTTCTTTATTAGTCAGTGTTATTATTGCTTAGTGTTGTTTTATGTAGTGCTATTATTTTTTGGTGCCCATTTATTTCAGTATATCCTACAAAAGTATATACATAAATATTATTATCTACATGTACACATTATTATTCAATATGTATGGTTATTATATTCGAAACACTTCTACTCCTTGAATTTCTATACTAAGATGCCAAGAAGAAATTGCAAACTTAACACTTACAGCCGCTTATTCTATATTAGTTTGTTCTATTAACTCTAATTCCTGATTGCGTTGTCATTGTAAAGTTGTTATATGCAATTAAACATAATTCATTCAAGTTTTCTTGAAGTCAATTCTGATTCACGGGATCAAAACAATGTGATTATAAATATGGTGTAATATTAAAGCCGTAATAGCATAATGGTTTGACCTACTGCCTCTGAAGCAGAGGCTGTGGGCTTGAATCCGGGATTTTCGGAATAAGTGCGAAATTTACTATGAGCTTTTCGATAAAGGAAAACATCGTGACTTGCACGTCCATGAAGGTTCATAAACCTCGGTTCAAAGTGAAGTTCCCAACCCGCATTGGGCCAGCGTGGTGGACTATGGCGTAAAACTCTCGCCTGAAAGGAGACCCGTGCCCAACAGTGGGACGTATACATGGGTTGATGATGATTTGTAACAATGCCTTTTGGATTAGTAGGGATTTGTTATAAATAAGATACTGAAACAATTAGGCTCGAGAGCGCGTTAGAGAAGTTTAGTAGCTATGAAGCTCCTTGTGAAAGAGTTCGTCTAGGGAACTTTAGGGGACTTTCCTATTTCTGTCGCCAAGCAGTTATAAGTAAGGGTGTTGGTGAAATTGCAGGCACATAGGATTTGTCAACTGCAACTGTTATGGACAGGCACTAGTTACTTGATATCATAAAAAAAGAGAAAATTGCCACAGCACAGACATATTCATACAAAATGCTGGTGTTCACAAAATCTTACTATAGACATAAGTCAACACTCAGCACTGGAAATTGAGTGATGAGAGAAATCAGGATGTCGCAAGGTTGTATGAAATCCAGACATATAATCATATGACGATGAATAATAGGTCATACTTTGTGTCAACAGTGGGACGTGTACATGGATTGATGATGATTTGTAACAATGCCCTTAGATTAGTAGGGATTTGTTATTAAATAAGATACAGAAACAATTAGGACTGAAAATAATTTTTATTCCAAAGACCGTCTAAAAGTGTTTTTCAAGAATTAAAAAACTTTACTAATAAATGAAAATTTGTTATACACAACTAAACACATGTAATAACTACTTTCTTACAATAACTACTTTACAACTACACGTACACTAAAGAGTTTACAAAACTGAGAGTCCATTTATTTCAATGAATCCCGCCTCGTTCATTCGATACAAATCTATTATTTACTTTGGAAATACCAAGTGCTCTAATAGTAGAGGGTTCTCGAGATCAAGCTTGTCTAGGATAGGCCCTTGTAGGAAAACGTTTGTAGAAATGTTCCGCACATTTTTGTGACATTTTGTTGCGCATGCTGAAAGGAGTTTTCAGCTATACAGGCTGTTTAATTGAAAGTGACAACATACTTATAGAGTGCGTTATATTCCTGATTCTGAACCCAAAGAAATAATAAAGTAATGAACTCAACTATATAAAAAAAAATATATTTTTTTTTTGTCGACTACTATTTGTGAACAACATTAGTTATCGAAATCTATGCACATCACTATTATTGCTCCGACGCCGCGGCGAGCGGCGGCGTGGCTTTGTTCTCAGGGGGGGCGCGGGCGCATACGTGAAATTGCTGTTTGCAGCAGAGACCGTGCACGCGCAACCTTGGTCTAACGAAGACACGTAAATTATTTGTACTTCCACTCGCCCGATCGCCGCAACATGGATATTTATTCCAACATCGAATTGACTGAGATTTTGCGACTTTACGCAATAAGTGGTGACGATGTGAGGCAAGCTATTGAAATGTTCCCAAATCGGAGTTTACTCGGAGGAGGTGAACAGTGTCGAAGTGTTGCGTGAGAGGATTATCTCAGCATTTTATACTGTGAGACAAAATGTGTTTGTGTTGAACAATTTAAAACAAAATGTACTATGCCGTGCTAGACATTGTGGAAAACGGTGGACTTGTTCCGTACCACGTAAGTGTAAATAAACTGTATATAACTAAAAAATCAATCATTGTAAATAACTTGATTTCACATTTTTAACAACGCCAAAAACCTCAATTCTTATTAAATGTTAACTAGTTACTAAATCATAAACTTATCTTTTTTAGTACGTAAAACATTTCGGTGATAGTTCAAGTAAAAAATAATTAACATAAGCTAAAACGTAATCATTTTGATAACAGTTTTTTCCATCATAACATAAATGAGTAGGTGAGTAACTTAGTTTTTATTTTTTAGAGAAATGAGGTGCTTTGTTGGTCCAAAGCCCGCGAAAAAGTAGGAAGGGAGATGTGAAATCATTGTTAATGTACTGTCTCACTCGGCGCCCGCTTGGTAGTATTCCCATTGCACTCGAAATCAAGCGTAAAGGGAATCGGTTTTTTCCTATGTACACTCCAAAACACATTTGTTGATTTATTTTTTGTTCTATCCCATATCCTAATTTTATTTTAGTCTATGTTAAGTTATAACATGATTTACTATGACATGTGTGAATACGTCTGACTTTCAACTAAACAGCCTGTATTTCGTTTATGTGCTTAACGTTGTGTTGGATAGAAATCATTTGATTCTTATTTATTGATTTCAGTCAAAAAATTATATTTACTTTGCATTTCATCAGCTTAATGCTAGCACTGTGAATTTCTAACTTATAGCCAAGCTACAAAAATTATCTAATAAAAAGAATAGTTATAATATAATTTTGATATTAACTATATTTTAAATACACATAAGACATATTTTATACAGTAACTTTCATTGCATTTTTGATAGCCATTTAAAATAAAATCACCTTATTTGTCTATTTTAAGAGTTGTCAGCTCAAATTAAAATTTTTCCCGCACTGAATAGTTTTTATTGTGCGGGCCGAACGACAGGTCCCTGTCACAGGGACACTGCCTTTATTTCAGAATTTATTTTTTTTACAAACGAAAGCTATTTGAAAAATATAAATAATTATATATAATATAAGAGTGTTCTATTTAGTAAAGTTGATTGAACACAGCGGTTTTCTTGTTAAATTCCGAGATAACTTTGTATTTTTTTCTATCAAGAAATTTTTTATAAATCGTGTTTCCACACCGTATAGTAAGCAGTGCATATCGTTAATTTTACTGTATATTTTTTTCAAAGTGACTGATTCAATACTTTCACTGTTACGTGGAATAAACCAACGCCATTTGAGTTTGTATCAACTCTTAACTAAGCCCAAAAAATATTATTACTGCATACAAATGGCACTAGTAACTTTTAATACTTGAATTATATTAAAACTACGCACAAATTATAATACATATATATATATAAACATAATAAGGGCATTGTTCCGTACATTAAGTAAAAAAATCCTCTGATACTGATATGATATGATTTTTTCAGATTAGTTGTGCCTTTGGAGCGTACCGTATATCCAACAATTATGATCATAAATTACTACAAATAATTAGGTTTTCTTGATTCCGAATATGTACATAACTAAATTGTGCCTTTGTTTCGTTTCGAGGGCAGTAACTATTATATATAGGAACATAAACACTATAATGTTATCTATCACCTTAAAATCTATTAAAAAATTTATATCATATACTATATATATATCACATAATGTTACTTCTGAATTGCAACCCAGAGTGATGGTACAGCCAACCGTAGTGTGGTCCTACGTCAGTGTACACTACGTAGAATTTAGGATCGCATTCTTTGTGGCCAGGGGACACTCCACATCTGGAGAGCACGCCTCGCAGAAACCAGGTGATCAGGTGATCTGTTTGCACGGTTGATACTACTAGACCACCACCGCTATCGCCGTTGCGCGGGTTGATGCCTGTCAAAGTTTAATGTAAAATTATTAGTAAATACCCCAAATCGATCAAAAGAACAATATTATGATCTGCCTTGTATTAGAAAATTAAATATCGATAAGTTTTAGAGTCGACGAGATTCGTCTAACAAAACAGTTAAGGTACTAAAACGGTGCCCCGTAGGACACCATGATTAAACGCCATAAAGTTTACGGAAGGCACAAAATGTTGTCTTGTGGTACGCTATTGACGAACAAACACAAAAAGTTTCGGTCTGACTGGACTCGAACCAAAAGTGTTCCCTCACCGTGGCTACCGTTCTTAAATATTAAAAGTAAATATTAAAACTTAATTTTGTTTAGCCCTCAAATAGATAAAAACCTAAATAGAATTGATTAGCTATTTTTCTATTTACCAGAAGTAGGTCCGAATCCAGCGCAAAAAGTGAATTCGTTAAGCAGACTCCGGTACAGCTTTGGGGAGTAGTTGATACACGTAGAGTCATTTTGCACCATCGTGTATGTAGACCTTAGGATATCTGATAGTTTGTTGTCTTCTGTTGAACCAAACCCTACCACCTGTAACATAAATTTTATTTTTTTCTTCATATTTTGCCATTTTGTTTCTTATTCGCCTCAAGTTAAATTATAAAGAAACTTGCTTTTAAAGTGGAAATTAGAAATAAAATAATTATGTTCATATTTCTAAATAAAACTTAAATTAAAAAAGTACCTACGTAAAAATTTACGAAAAGACGTAGCACTTATATTTTCGTCTTATGTCAATATTATCTGCAGTATTTTCTTCTTATGGAAAATCCCAAGCGGGACTGCAGTGCTACTTGTTAACATGTTTTATTTTATTTCTAATTTCCTTTCAATTAACATATTTATTTCAAATGCCTATTGTTAAATACAATATTATATCGATTTAATTATCAGTTAACGCCATCTATCGTCTTTTCAGGGAACTACAAAATGTTAATAGGTTATTTCATTAAATAAAATATATGGCTTAACTATAGTGCCTTATGACTCACAGTTGCTTGATTTCCGAACAGATTTGATTTATCATAAACAGGTCCCCAAATGCAAATAGGTTGGACAAACTCTGTGAACTTCAGTTTGCTAATTTTAATTACAGCCAAATCTGCTGTTGCGTCAACGTCATTATAACTAGGATGGACTATCACCTTCTCTGCCTGTAATATTAAAAATTAATTAACTAACGTTTATATAATAATATTATAGCTCTAGCATTAACTTTTCAGTTCTAAGTTACATACATTCATGATTGTTTCGTAGCAGTATCTCTTGCTAATAGTCAAGAAATACATCGTACTGAAAAGTGGATGTCGAAAAAGGTTCACAAGCCTTGGAACACGTGTTCTATCCTTCTTGCCATCGTGGTAATATTCGCCATTCAACGTAAAGTACTCGTCAATTGTTGCCCAGGGTACGCTAGATATATAGGAAAGGAGTGATGCGGGGAGACTTCTTTCGTGCATCCCAAAGAAAGATGGCGAAAGCTGCCCCAATAACGACGGAGAGCCGTTCGTGGACTTTGCTAGTATAACTTTGCGTTTTAGTTTATGCCTAATTATCAATATATTTTTGTACATTTTTAGAAGTTTGGAATAAAAAAATTGTAAAACATTGTATTTTAGAATATATGCAAAAACACAACACAATTGACTCAGTTCGACCATAAGTTAGGTAACGTTCTTGTAAGTACATTTAATTTAAACTGATTGAATGTTTACCAAACTGAAGTATTGGTTATTTTAGAGTACACACATAAAACATTAAAGCTATAAAATACTAATTGAAATAATCAATTAAACAGATATGACATAAAGCAAAAAATAAAACACAATATGACAAAAATATTTTGGTCAATATTTAAATGAGAGATAATGAAAGTTGCAAAGGAACGTTTTGACAAGAGACCTCTTGCCAATGTCAATGTCATTTTGATATTGAAAACAGTGCAGAATTTGTGGCAGATTTCTGCCATTTGGGCAGATTTAATTTTTATTCATTTTCATTGCTGCAGAACATGATAAGTTTTAAATGTGGAAGAGTTTGGCAAATTTGGGAATGTTCGGGTAGTTCTTTATTATTTTTGGGAACAAACTGACTACTTGTTGTTTTCTGCTACTAAGAACAAACACCTGAAGCGAAATACAGAACAATGTCATAAATATAACCTATATCAACTTTACAATCCCCGCTTCTACAGGCTGTACTCAATTAGCTTTTTTAATGCTTTGATAATGAATTACAAGTATTGTACGTTCGTTAAGGAGACCTATCTCCTTAACGAACGTCGTCAAACACACCAGTCACAATACGCGGGATGTCGCCATCCTTCTTTCGGGATTCCATTATACCGGAGAAGTAACCATTGTTTCACTGGACTATCACTGCTTCTTCAAATATTAATTAGGATAATGATTTACTTACTATATACATTTGTCGTCCAATTTCATTCATATCCTTATGATTACTAATACCGGCTACAATAATAATTCTTTCTGGATCCAGAGTTTCACCACTTCTTCTTACACAATGTGCAGCTGTAAATAAATTCATACTTTACACAAATGATAGCTTGGATGGATGAAGAATTGTTGTTGACATTATTGAATGTTCAATAATGCACAGCATTTATTATATTAACATCAAGAGTTAATTTATTGTTTGAAAGTTAATAGGAATAGTTTCCAAATTCCATGTAAATATATTAAATTATAATAATTTGAAAACAAAGTTACGGATTAATCCGTTCAGCCGAAAGACGCTGTTGGATATTGGCCTCCTCCAAAGATCGCCGCAAATTTAAATTAATCTTTATTTCTTGAGTAATCAAATTATACTTGACGTCGTCCCTTCCGTCATTATTAACATGACTTCCGTTTAGAAAAATGAGTAAGAAACTCTTGTAAACAGTCATTTGCACACATTAATCATTTACAATTTTTTATTTCAAGTACCAACAGATAGAGACAGCCTGCAAAAGCTGTATAAATAATCTTTATGTTTCACTAAATCTCTGAATCTCGTAAATGGCAAATTTTGCATATCTATGTACTTGTTAAATGAATTTGTCACTTTGTGAAGAAGACTACCAAGAAGAACCAGTCTCCTATTAATGTTATTTCTATTACTATATTTTAATGCCAGGTCTTGCACTGTTTGCGGAAACTTCATAAGATCATCGGTTTTTGTGAGTGGTCTGCCCACGCTTAGTCTCCCAGTACGCTGTCGCCACTCGAGAAGTCTTGGCCCCATTGGACATTTGCAGTACGAGCAACGTACCGCGCCCACTGCGACTAAAACTTTTCGTAGTGAGACTAATAATAATACAGTAGCAGTAGAGTCCTATTACGTTCTACTTACGAGTTCCTGTTGAAAAACGTCATCCAGGAAAGTACCTATTTTTATTACCAAATTGTAGTAATATGAGCATTACCACGTTCCAGTTTTGAAATAGGGCAATAAACTTCAGACATATGTGACTATATGTCTCCAGTTAAATGTACGCATTTGCCATGCCCGACAAATTTTTGCGATTGAAGCTCTGGGTGGCCCTACAACTGCTGTAGGTACGCGTATTGCTTAGTAGTAGACGCACGACTAGTTTGTCTTGTCACCCTTTGAGATGACCTTCAGCCTTCTTCTAAGGCCTATTGTGAGCGATCAAGTCTCAGTGCCATAAGTTATCACTGGCGACACACACTGGTAAAAGATCGTTGTGTTGAGACACTGCAGTATATTGGGCAAACATATATGACGCGTATTTATTTCCATATTACTGTTAATATTAACCTAAATGACGGAATAATATAAGAAAGAAAGAATTTATTGTGATAATAATGAAATTTGTTTACCTGTAACAATCGCTGTCCTGGATATAATATTTCCACCGCATTCATACCACGATAAGGTTAAATTTTCATCTTTATGATACACAGCGACATGCCAGGGCCAGTCGCCAGCTTTAGATTCTGTCCTCACTGAAGTTAGCTCAGCGTGATCCAAAGCTCTTCGACCACAAACATGTTTGTAGAATCTGTTGTCGTCCGTCACATTAAGAGACTCTACTTTTTGAGATGCCTGAAACAAAACACCATCATCGTCGTCATTGTCTTGATTATCACTATCATAATCATCGCTATTAGCAGAGAGAGCTCCTTTTGAAAGAGTTTGCCCAGGAAGTACTACAACTATACCTATTTCTGCCATTAAGCAGACATGGGAGCATGGCTGTGTTTCGGTTTTGAAGGTACTAGGGAAATTATAGGTACATGGGACTTGTCGATTTACGTCCCATATTCTGAGTGGCACTGCAACTGCACGGCTTATTCTTCTCTATACTTGATATCATAAAAAATCTCGAACCCTCCAACTTGATTCCGCGCTAGTCTTATCTATCTGCGGCCCGAGACTTGGATAATATCGAAAGCATAGTAAAAGACATGTTCATTATTAGCGTTCGTACCCCAATATAGGTAAAAGGCAACATTACAGGTTTTACACCTCGGATTGTCTTACCGTATAGGTATATTTTAGACTTAAATTTCATCGTTATCATCTGCCCATTACACGGATTACCGATAAGAAGGGCCAACTTGCACCATGATGACATAATGCGTATTGGAATTATGATTCTTCTTCTACGTGCAGGTCTCGTCAGAATATTTTTCTTAACGTTTAGCGAGAAGTATTGCTACTTATCATCATCATCATTCAGCCATACGACGCCCACTGCTGGACATAGATCTCTCCCAAAGATCTCCACGACGATCGGTCCTGCGCTGCCCATCCATCGGCTTCCCGCGACCTTTACCAGATCGTCGGTCCTGGTGGGGGGCCTACTCTCTGAGCGTCATCCGGTGCACGGTTGCCATTGAAGAACCTTTCCGCCCCAATGGCCATCACTTCTCCTAGCTATGTACCCCGCCCACTGCCACTTCAGCTGAGCAATTCTTCGAGCTATGTCGGTTACCTTAGTTCTCCTACGGATTTTCTTATTTCTGATTCTATCACGTAGGGAAATACCGAGCATCGCTCGCCCCATTGCCCGCTGATTGACCTTAAGCCTTCTTATGAGGCCCATAAGAAGCTAATGCTACTTAACATTCACAAATACACGTACCGCCTTCTACGTACTCCCATGGTAAGTTTTCGAAGAAATTGAGCAAGATTTTCTCGCAGAGCTACCACCGCGAGTATATCTTAAGGCGAGTGACCGGAGGAGACCAAATAATTTAGGTATTTACAATTTAATAACAGTCTTACCAAAATTATATGATATACCTAAGGATATTGTCTAAAGAATGTACTAATTTATTACACGATAGGACGTACTTCACTCGATCAAGTAAAATGCTGAAAACAGGCTAAAATAAAACTCTAAAACGAATTATTTAAGAATAAAATGTCTAACTTTGCGTATAATTTTTATATGGAGACATTTCTCTTTAAGTACTATACAGAACCCGCAAAGTTATTAAATTCAAATTTATACCAAAAATTTGAAAATTTAATCTTTTAAAAACGCGCCGCGGCGCCCACCGGATCAGTCACTATCGGGCGCTTGCCGACGTCGGATCTGTGTCATATTATTATTATCCCGTCTGTTCTTATTTTATTCATATTAATTTTCAGCGCGCGGGTTGCGGGACGCAAGGGCCGCTCCCCCACACCTCGCGTTGAAATACGTCACCTTAAGTGAAACTGTTAAGATATTCAATTGAATTTTATTTAGTAATAACAAAATGAACATTTGATAGAAATTGAACGTATTTTTTTTATTTAATAGACCATCTAAGTAAAATGTATAAATGGTAGATAATAATATCGTTATTTTCTGTTGACAATTTGTGGTATAATTTAGCGATTAACATCAAATATTGTATTAAAATAATGAAAAAACACTCACTTTAATGATGTCGTCGCAAAGTGTTTGGTTGTTTATGGAAAATGTTCTCACAGTTGGCACTTCCGTTTCGAAACTTTCAATTTTAACAAAAAATACGTATCGTGATGGAACACCGTCTTTAGGCTTGAAAGTGTAATTGTGATAATTGTCCTTTACTTTAAAAGTACTGTTTTGTGAAGCCTGAAAACAAAAAAACATAAAAATACAAATTATCCCGAAATCAAGTAACTCACAATTTTGATGGAAAAAATTATTTGCATACAACACAACAACATGTTTAACATAGAGTAGTAGAATAACTAAGAAGTTTTACGCCATTGTCCACCACGATGGTTCAATATGAATTGGCGATCTCACACATTTTGCGAAGGTGTGTGAACCATCTTCGTCATGCACGTTGTTTCTCTTGAGAATTATATCTTTTCTACCTAAACATTTTGAAAAGTACGTAGCTTAGAAATAAAAATCACAGTCGACGTCTTAATTGACAAGCAATAGTTCTGTCAATTTCATTTTCTATGTTTTTTGATTTAAATAAATTCGTTTTTATCAAAGTTGTAAATAACAATAATGTACCAGACAATCACACAAATTACTTGCTCTCGAAGTAAAGTAATTCCCTATGAGAGCAGTACCCAGAACACCCAGACCAGTACCAATTTAGAAAATTTGTTTCCCAAATTGATAAAGTGGTCCTTTTTGTATCGCTAGGAAATGCTTTACGCATACCACTCTCGTTCGGGCTCGGGGGCGCTGCTCCCCCACCCACTAAAACCCAGCGGTTAACTCTCGTCTTGGCTGAAAATTCCCTTCCAGGTATAAGGGCAACCTCAAGGTTGGTATTACGGGTCCCCCGAATCCAGTCTACGGCGGGGGATGGAGGTGCGCGTACTGCCTCCTTCGGCTCTCCGGCCACCGTCTACCAAGCGGGCCAAAGACTACGCTCTCGCAAAAGGAGACCATAGCTTCTCAGCACCTCTCGATGCCGCGCCAAATTGGTCCTACCTCGTCTAGCGTCCACAATGCAAACCGTTGGACCACCGAAGTCGACGTCAAATCACGACCATTATGACCACTTGCACTAAAATTAATTATGTAAATTAAATTAGTCGCAGTAGAGCTCCCAGTAAAAGAGTTCACCCAGGGTAGTACTGCCACCTTACCTATTTCTGCCGCCAAGCAGTAATGTCAGCATTACTATGTTTCTGTTTTAAAGGGTACTGATGAAATTACTGGCACATAGGACTTGTCAACTTATGTCTCAGGGTGACGGGCGCAGTGGCAGTGCCCCTCAGATCTGTTAGAATTTAAGCTCTGAGAGGCACTGCAACTGTTATGGATAGGCGTGTAGCTTACCATCAGGCGCACGACTTGTTCATCCCGTCGCTTAATATTATGAAAAAAATTCATAAATTAATGCTTAAATTGATAATACACTTTTAACACAATACATTAAGAGTGTTTTTTGCATTGCAAGCATTGGTTTAAAACGTACTTTAGTTTAATGTCAGTAATTTTTTTTTTTATTTAGTTTTTTTCTGGCCATGGAAACAAAGTCCTTCAGCCGAAAACATAAAAATAAGTTTTTCTGTAAATATGGCCGCCACAAAGAGGATAGGCAATTTGAGGCGGCGTGCTTGGATTGACTCAGGATTCCTTAAAAAGGGCCGATACCGGTATTTTAGTTCGAGATTCGTATAATTTCGCGTTTTAATCTTCGATTAAGGCACAATAGCACTATCCTATTCCACTTTAAACTAGATTTCACAAAATAATTGAAAGTCAAAATAAAAACGACACTTTTCCCTCCAAAAGGTCCAGAGCGAATCGTTTAATGTCAGTAGACATAAGTGTTGCAAGGTGTTGCCTATGCATCATAATATTTCCTTCAATTTATATTCTATTTGTTTACACTGTTTGATATTATATTAGTTTTAATCCGTGGTAGCCTAATAGTTTCACCTCCTACCTTTTAAGCAGAACGTAGTGGGTTCGAATACAAGCTTATACGTGTAAGTTTTTCAAAATGTATGTGCGAGATTTAATTTGAAATTTGGCACAGGAAAATATCCTCATTGGGCTCGCGTGGAAACCACAGCCCAAGCCACCTCATTGTGAGAGGAAGCCAGTGATAGACTAAATATTGTCATTATATTAATATTTTTGACATCATTCTTCAAATTACATACAAAAGTGAACAAATTTTTAGCATTTCCAACGGTATAATATTTCAGAAAATAAATAAAGTAATACTGACCAATTGCCGAAGAAGGCAAAACATGGAAACTTATCTTGTGACTTGTAAGAATTTCGTTACATTTGCGACAGAAGAAATTGCCTTGATTTCAGTAAATCGCAACCCTTTACGGACTTAAGGTCCACCATATCTAAAAGACCTTTACAATATGACCCTTGTCGCATTCATTGCCATTGACCTTTTGAGAATATGTTCAATATGCTTGTTGTATCGTTTTTTACATTGTATTGTTCTGTATTTACCTTTTTACAAAATGACATATTATTGTGTTTAATAAGTAACTTCCGTGATGCTATTGAAATTGATTTAGAATTATATTATCTTAAATGTTAGTATGTTAATTAACAATAGAATGCGAATAGTGTAGTATGAGCGCATTCTAGTGTTAAAGAGGAAGAAGTGACCAAGACAGAAAGGGTTTCGATGGTTTGATCGTACCAAAAAGAAGGATAATAAATTATTATTAGAATAAAGATCATGGCCCATAATCTGATCCGGTTGATGGACGTTTGTGTACAAAAAAATAAATTAATTTTAAATTTATGCCGATATAAACAACTTTCTATTTTAGTAAAAAAATATTGAAAAGTCTAAAACATATTTTTTTAACTGACTTCAAAAAAAACAGGAGGAGGTGTATGCTTTATGCATATTTTCCGATTTCTCCGTCAATTGTGGACTGATTTAAAAAATTCCTTTTTTGTTTGAAAGGGTACGCTAGCGTGGTGGTCCCATTGTCACCAAGGAATCAGAATCTGATGAGGGGATCCCATAAAAATCGAAAACAGCCGATAAACAAAATTTGGGGTTGCTTTTTCTTTTTCAATGAAAAAGTTACAATTATAATTGTGTGTAAGACTTTCTGTTAAAATAAATATTTATTTATTTATTTGATTACAGACGATGTACATCACACAGTGTTGAAATTTATATCGTTTGTTTTAGATTCAGCAGTAATTTTTTTAGCATTTTTTAGCACTAATTCTTTCATTCGTACCCCGTTGTCGAGCTTGTTTTTGAAAGCTTTAACAGAGACAGCAAAAACAACATCTTCCGGTAGCACGTTCCAATTATGCACCACTCTGTTGCTGAAAAAATTGTGTGCTGCAGGTGTTTTGGAAGGAGCACGACTTAGTTTCGGATGGTGACCACGTGACGGTTTGAAGTTTTTTTTCTTTTAAAGATCTTTTGTATATCTGGTAGATTGGACTGACACATCAGAATTTTATAAGTCTCGACAAGGTCACCACGAAGGCGTCTTTCTTCCAGAGTAGTGAGGCATAATACGCTTAATTGTAATAGGAATAAGACCGAAATCGTTCTTTGGGTGATCAACAATAAATACAGAACATATAAATGTTTGTCACTAACATTACATTGTTTATTATATTAAATATAATTTAACTGCCTCCGTGGCCGAACGGTTACCCTACTGCCACGCAGAGGTCCCAGGTTCGATTCCGGGGCCGGGAGAAATATTTGTATGGCCTACATTTATTTCTCTCGACAGTTTGGGTGTAATTTGTGATTGTCTTTACATCAATTTGCTAAGTTTTATTGGAATCGGTTACCGGAAAGTGCGCGAAACCGGATTCATCCCCTAGTTTGCCATCTTTAGGGGTGGAATATTTTCTTCAAATTTAAATGGAACCACTATCGGTTTACAAGTTATCGCGTAACATACCATAAAGCGACACTTTACATTGTAAAGTACACATTAAAAAAAGACAGAAGCATATGTATCTTGACCACATTGAATAAAGAAGGCCAGGTTAAAAGTTCGAAGAAGAAATGGACATGCATGGAGAATAAGAATAAGATAATGTAAGTGTGTACAGCACAATTTTGCAACCATATTTTAGGCAAATAAATATCTTTTGTTCCTTCATTCGTATCATATATTTGGTACTCCATTTCTTAAACCATTATTCGGCATATAGTTTATGAGTAGCAGTAGAGGTCCTTGTGAAAGACTTTGTCCAGGGAAGTATTGCCAATGTACCTATTTCTAGGTGAGCGTTACTACATGACGGTTACTACGTTCCGGTTCTGGGTGTCTATTCTCGTTCTCGCATGATGCGAATGAAGCTTCATACTTGACATTGTTTTTTTAATATGGTCGATTATTACTTATTTGACAGTAATTGCTTCGGCCTGATGTCGAACTGAGAACCAGAGTACAGGGCCTGAATGATAAGTGGAGTCAAACTTGTTTCAAATCTCAGGGTGACGGGCGCAGTGGCATTGCCCCCCAGGTCTTTGCGATTTAAGCCTCTGAGAGGCACTGCGACTATTGTGGCTAAGAGTGTCACTCATCCCAAGGCGCACGACTTCTTGATCCCGTCACTCGATTACAAACAAAACAGGTATTTAACTGTTAATACAAAGATTTAGAAAAAAATCATTAGGATTTGGCCGGATTCAAACCGAAGTCTTCTAGCAAACCGTGTCAGACGCTAAGCCAACTAAGCCACGGAATAAACCAGCGGACCTTACGAATTTTTCTACGTGCGGATTTTTGTATATGGTTTTTAACGACTTTTTAGCCGTAGCGCCATCTATGAGAAATCTATGAAAGTATTTCGTCGCCCACTTAGGCTTCTTCACAGCTACCAGCCCTGACTAGAGTTGTCGCTATTCACTGTAATTAAGTGTTAATTACAGTGAATAGCGACATCAAAATGGCCGGATTGAAGGATTATTTTCTAAGTGTTCGTGCTTTGCATTACAAGGTGACGCGTTACTTCACAGCGGGTCAGTTGCTTCAGCTTTACCAAGCACAAGTCCGGTCGTGTATCGAGTAATGCTGCCACTTATGGGATGGCTCTCCTAAATACCAACTGGCCACATTGGAGTCCATAGACAAGCGTGCTAAGAGGCTTATAGGTGACTCGGAATCCGTAGAGGCGAAGCTGCAGAGCCTTGAACACCGCCGTAGAGTTGTTAGCTTATCGGTATTCTAAAGGATAAGTCACAGAGAGTGTGCGATGGAATTGCATAATTTGATTCCGCCTTTCCATCATCGGGGGACTAGATATGGGCTGGGATTCAACTCCTATGTTGTGGATATTCCCTGGATTCACACGAAGCGTTTCGCTTCCACATTTATACGGCGAGTGACTAGGGAGTGGAATCCCCTTCCTGCAGACTTGTTCCCCGAACGCTATAACTTGGACCTTTTCAAGACTAGAGTGAATAGGTATTATTTAAGTGTGCTACATCCTCGACCTCATCGTCACTTTCCTTCAGGTGAGATAGAGGTGAAGTGAACACTTATTTTTTATAAAAAAAAATTACAATAATTATATCAAACTAGCGGAGTAATTTCACATAAAAGAATTGAATCACAATGGTGAAATATCCTGGCATTCAAGAAAACACTTATCAGAAAACAGGTATCTACTAATATTATTTCAAAAGACGGTCTCACGATTCTCAAACCTTGCCAATGTCATTACATAAGGCTCTACAAAATAAAATTTCTGTTAAGGAAATTAATTTTCTATCCTATAAATGTATTGAATTAAACCTCTTACAGGGCAATAAGTTTTATTAGGATTCACCATGTTGAAGAACTTGGTAATATTAACAAAATTGGCATTAATGTCAAAAGTCAATATTTGCTCCGTTATTTCAGGGATCATAAATTTGTTGTAAAAGTAGGTAAATTACTGACAACATATTTACTTGTGATAATAAAATCTACATAGGCAGTTCTTTAATATTTTATTATCACCATGTAACTGAGCACATAAATGAAAAGCAAAAGTTTGCCTCTGGCGTCGTGTGCGTTATAATAATGGCATTTACCGTATTTTTCTTGTTTGTATTGTAATATTAAGTAAATACTAAGTAAAATAACTTGCAACTCGTAATTTTACTTCAAAATGCCATTTCTAATTCTAGCGGAATAGAAATATTTTTAACCTACTTCAAAACGAGGTTGTCAATTCGACTGTATGTTCCTTTTTTTGTATGTATGTTACGCGATAACTCCGGTGTTTGTGAACCGATTTTCATCATTCTTTTTTTTTTTTTTGGTGGAAAGGGGGTACTTCCATAGTGGTTCCATTTCAATTTGAAGAAAATCATCCACCTTTAAGGGTGGCTGTTCACGCATGAAGATTCATTTTTATAAATAGCGCCTAGCTTTAATTTAGGAGCAATTATTTTAATGGTTGATTTTGTTATTTCTCCAAATCAAGGCGTTTTTCTCTCGATATACTTTGAGTAGTGAGAACCGATTTTTATTATCTCCAGTGTCAAGTCCTGTATAGTGGCGAACTAGGGGATATTTCAATAAAACTTAGCACATAGACGTAATTCCACGTACTTTGTTTTAGTACTCTGTACTGAGATTATTTGTGTGTATATTACATATTCATATTTGACATTGTCATTTGATTCATTGGTGTCTTTTAATTTCTTATAATCAATAAATTTTAATACTTGAAAATATTCAAAATTCGTGTTGCGTCCGCGTCTTCGATTTAATCAATCACTTTAGTAAGAGGTTTCTCATCACTAAATAGCGCTGTGACATCATCGGAGGTACAAAAATAAAGCACGCTTGGTTTTACATACCAATCGCGGTACATGCAATGTCTATTATGAGACCTGTAAAGGTCCGAAACGTTGGTTTGTTTGAAAAAAAAAACAATTATTTTCGATTTAGATCCAAAAATAAATTATTTCATTTCTTTAAGAGTCTGTACTACCTCAGATAGAATTTAATTTTGCTAAAAGTGGAACGGCGGGGGCATTGGCTTTATTTCAGAATGTATTTTTTTACAAACAAAATTACAGCCATTTGAGAAATGTATATCGTATAGTATACGTTTAAAAATAAAACTTCATCCTTGACATTATGTTTTGATTTGTTGTATTACTTATTTGACAATTATTGTTACGGCCGGATGTTGGACGGAGAACGGAAGTAGACGCCAAGGAAAGAAAAAAAGGGCACAACTTGTAACAGTTAATGGTTACCAGACGGATCGACGGCAAAAGTCCAAGGGGTCGCTGTTCCACAAGATGGTCCAACCAAGCTTGTACGTACTGCTCTCGGCATGAGTCTCCATGATGCACTCCACCATGCTTAAGACCGCCATAGATGGCACAGCGTCGTCATGCAGAAACAGTTTCCGCGGGATAGCCACGACCCTCAATAATGAGACATACATTGCCCCATAAATGAATGTCCATGAATGAAAAAATATGAAAAACAAGGACTTACCCCATAAATTTTGACTTGTTTGTCAAAGTAAACATTAAACTCCACTTGATTGGCGTATTCAGAGTAGAGATGTAAATTGACAACTCCTTGCCAAAATCTGTCAGAGATTTTATCGAAATGTAAAGCTCCTAAGGCACAAGGCTCGTATCTCGTTAATGGCCCACCACGTAATGCCATGGAGCTTACATTTAACACAGATAAGCACAAACACAATATGATTTTAATGTAATACATTTTAACGCGTTAACTTACTAACTTATGACGATCGTGGAACTTGACTACACTTAAATAGTCTCTTATTAACTGATAATAAATTATTTTATAATTTATGACACTTGTAAAAAATATACATGTACACATTACGGGTAACTCTATCAGTGGTTTATGTAAAGCGTGTTCTTTTAATTAAAAAAAAAACGTACGTTCACGAGGTTTGGAATTAAGAAAATTAGATGCGGTCAATTGAACGTATGGTTTTTAAGTGAAAGTTTTATTGTGACTCAGTTAACTGAAGCTTTGTTTGAATATTCGAATACACTTTTATTAAGGTCAGTTTGGTTAGTCATATTGTATGAGTGTGACAAAGAAATTTTTAACTATGCGGTAACTACTAACCCAGTGACCTAAAGGTGCATTAACCGCGAATTTATTTCAAATATTTTCAGTATCCATAACACCTGTTCATTGTTACAATGTCCGTGTACTTTCTCCTATATTATTTTTAAGTAATAAGTAATCAC